TCAAGAAGATCGACGGCGACATCGATGTAAGTCGAATCGGATATGATGCAATGAAAGTGGTAATTGTCATGTTATTTCTGGTAGATCGTGTCATATATTAAGTGAATGATTTCGATTTAGAGGCATGTGTGCTTTTAGGTCGTAATATATCGTCGAAACATGATCCAAGCACTTTCAATTTGCCACACGCTGATATTAGGGCTCGTGTCAAGATCCAGTGTTTGAAAAGAATTAAACCTAATTTATTCGCGCCCGCTCACGAATAGTGACACCCCGTAAGTTGTACCTTCTACATATCTAGTCAGAAAACGAGTCCAAATTAACGTGTCTTAAACGTTATCTTTGAAACCTAAATGTTCCACCTGGGACTATACGCGCTTGTCCACGCGACTTTTGGAATAAAGTAAGTGAACTTTAGACTCAGAAATTCCGGATTCACAAAATTATAGTTCTTCCTCTCGACTACAAGAAGGAGAAGTTCAAGGACATAAGCCTTTCTTATTTTGATATAGAAATACCTAAATCTGGGACTACTTGTGAACGAAAGGGTACAAATCAAGCCTTTAGACCGTCAATGTGCTCATAATTGCATTATGCCACGCCCTTGTGTTTTAGCAATGATTCCAGGGGTCGATTTTCCATCAAAAAGAGTCAGAGACGTATAATTCAGACATTAGTGATGGTTGCAACATCGTTTCGGATAGTCAAAAGGTCGAGAGAGAAAGGGGAGAGAACTCAACTGCTTTATTAACTTCAGCAAAACATTTCAGAACTCTTCAGCATGCTAGATTTTACCACATTTGTTTCGTAGGAATCTACTTTAGGTGATCACCCCTCATGTGGCTGGCTACACGAAGTTCATTGTACACGCTGCATATGGAGTTTTTATCTATAGTACGAAAGTTTGTCGATGTCCTACTAGTATATTTATATGGTTCAACCATTCATTAGCAGTAATAGGTAAGTCCCACGTCGGTAATGGGAGGATAATATAATCGCAAATTCTGTATCAAGCACGTTGGTATGAGTCGCTCAAGTGTCCCCGAACATTCAGTCTTGGATATTGATCACACGATAACTAATGTTTGATCGAGGCGAAGCCTAAAATTTTTTAAAAATGGATCTTTACATTAGTTAGATGGGAGGAAAAGGCCCCATTTAGATGGAAGGAAAAGGCCCCATTTGAGCACGTAATCTAAATACCCCACGTTCTTGTATACTTAAGTTACTGCAGTACTCACACATCAACATAATGCTTTGGTTTAGGACTTCTCCGAATGTTATCACCATTCACACGCAATGTGCTAATACGGTGGCCTTCATTAACCTCTAGCGTGCTGAATGTGGCTTAAAAATCATTATCAGCACCATATAATACCTGCTACAACACTGAAGTGCCTCCACCAGCACCGGAAAAGCCTTCAAATTTGTAAAGTAAGAGTCAAATAGATAGAATGGATTCATGGTAGCATTGTCAATGGTCAAATATAATAAATTTAGATTACTAAAGCGTACGAGCTGGAAGAGAATTCCTATCCCATGACTGATACGGCTATAACGGCAGCACCAGAAGACCAATCACACCATATTATATTAGTAACATCACGAGCAGAGCAGCAGTAGCAAAAAGCAGTAGAATTGGTAAAACAACAGCTGCAACGATTACAGCATTAACAAATACATCAGCAGCAGAAGCAGCACCAGCAGCAGCAGTAACAAAACAACACAACAACAGGGTCATCCTAAATAACTTAGAGCAAAAATGGCTACAGCAGCAGTAGCAGCAACAACGGAATGATTAACTGAAACAAATTTAACAACAATACTAAATAGCAACACTTAAAAGCAATAACGACACTGGTAAAAATGATACGAAAACAATATCATCAAATAAAAGACATCAGCACCCGTTGTCTACGTTAATAGCCGTGGACAAAGATGCAAAGATGCGTTCATATCTTCCCTGCGCCGTTCGCGCTCACAACTGGTGCCTGAGAGCGCAGCATGCCCGTGGCAGAACCCCCTCCACGGCTCTCATAAAAGGGGGTCCAGCACAGCCGTACAATGGGAGTTGAAAAATGACTAAAGACGTGGATTTTTATGTGCACCACGCTAGCTCGACTATACAAGGACGTGAAGCATTGTTTGGTTTTCTCCTAAACTATTACATTTTAATTTTCCAATTATCTAGGCCATTTTTATTTCATGATTATTTGGAGCATTTTTTAATTTTTCCTGATTAAATATGTAAAGTCGATTGTACCCACTATTACGAGCTCTGAGGCTTTCTGAGCCTGAGTTGTCTCTACAGTATCTATACGGTGGCTCTGGTACATCTCATTATGAAAATCAGTGCAAAAACAAACACGTAAGCTTGCCTCCTATTTTATGTGCGGCAACGTGTACATTTATCGGACGCCAGTCACTAAATTGTTGTAAGCTTAACTACTGTGTGCGACACCACACCCGCCGCTACAAAAAATTATGGTTTAACTTGCAGCATTCTTTTTCGTATAGTGATGCAACGAGTTGGTTTCTTTTAATTCGAAACGGTACGTACAGTATAATAATTCGATCTTGCGAGATCCGATAAACTAATTTAATACTATCATGCGATAAATGGTCACGAAATGGCTCAGGGAGCACGATTCATGTATTGTCTGGCAGTATCATATGCGATTATACCTGACAATTGTTAATCCAGTTATAACTAGATGAGCGTATGAAAGCGCTCACAGCGTATAAATCTATTACTAGTGATTAAAAAGGCTTCACTAGTTTTTAGGTCGCTAACACAAACACAGCACAAAGCAGTATGGGCAGAAATATACACTGTAAAACTCTGCTAGCATTTGTGCAGAGGTAAATCTAGTTGAAATCACCGGTCAGATGATTAAATCATACCGGTTCGTGGATGCTTTCTTGGAGCTTAGCATGTCGTATCTAATAATAAAATGGTGCATAGAAGCGACAACAAATGATCCTAAAGGTATCGCATAATTTAACGTAGATTAGACCACTGAAGTTGCGTTAATGTAAATTGAAAAAATGACAGACGGACCCGAGAACATGATGAAACACGTAAGCAGAAACAAAGAGGTATTTATAAATTACATTGTGATACAATAAGCGAATATGTTACTGACAGATTGAGCATGAATGCCCTTGCGCTAGTTTTGCTAAGTTTCCAAGGTTAAAATATGGTTTTAATTTTTAATTACTCACTCGGTCTTACATATTTTGCGCGGTTTGATTAGGATGCTAATGTGTACAAATTCACCGGTTTTACCCATTAATGGTGTAAGGTGAACATGAAAAGATATCGATACGTCACGTTTAGAATGCTAATGATTAATAAGAGTTTTCGGATGATGCTGTATACATCAGAATATGGTATTTGCATATTACCAATCCAGTCCAAGAATTTATATGCAATTCTACAACCAATGCACCTCTCGAGAAAATCAGTATAGATCAAATCAATGAATGCATCTCCGGACCAGACCGTGCCAGATACCTTAGTATAACGGAACAGGTAGCACGATGTACCTGTATTCCGGCATGAAACATGCTGCATGAAGCAGTTGTCACTACTCCTTGCCATGTATATTACCTAGACGAAGATCCTCGTGGCCAAAAATACCTCCTCACATCTGCTGTGTGACGGGGTGTAACACTTCCCGTGGGTGTGATATATCAGATCTTCTCATTAGTAAAATTGTAGCCTAGTTTAATTTTTTTCCGTTCTGTCTGTTATATTTCTAATTCACCATACACAACCAAGGCTAAACGCTTTGCTGTTTAAAATTTACCCATGTAGAAATATAAAAAACGCCTAAAAGTTTGATGAATAATCTTCGCACACCTGATCACTGCTGACATTAACTGCGCTATTCTTGTTATCCTGATACTTTCCAAACTTTGATCCCGCAAAAAATTCATGGCACAACTCACTACAATTTCCAAATACACATTGAGCATTTAGGAAACCCGGTTTACGCTATACGTCGGAAACAAGAGTAAATACACGTTAGTGCTGTTAGTTTGGAATAAAGATATCATTTAGATGATAAAAAGGATTTGAAGATTTCGTGTCTTTTAATGAATTCATATTACTTCTGGAGATACATCATAGATTTAAAATCGATACGATGCAGTTAAGGTTCACACGGAGGAGTATCTCAAAACATTACCGAGAATGTTATTACTGGACTTCGAGCAGAAAAAGATCAGATTATAATATGTGCATCAGATTTCGTGGCTTTCCCTGGCTAGTGAAGACCGTATATATGATATTCAGTGGCACCCGAGAGGTATGATATATGACTTACACTGATCTGGATCAATACGAATTAGTCTCACGTTGAAGCACAGGCTTGGTAAGTCTTTGTATGATTCTAACAATTTGCAATTTTCTGATATTGGTGTGCGTCTGCACGCAGTATCTTATTAGCGAAGTTGTTAAATACGAGAGTGTCGTGCTAAGTGCGACGACGACGGAAATGGCGGCCACTGACTGTGATTGTATAGTGCATACACTGTGTGTGACAATATGCGTGATATGCAGATCGAGTGGACCGGGATGGTGGTGAGTAAAGAGTAGAAAAGAGATCACAAAAGACTAAAGGCAGAATCCTTGTACATCAGTGCAAGAGAGTGCTATCTCTATTGCGAACAGGTTATGAGCCCCAACGGACAGGGCAACGACGTCAACGCGGCACAGGCGCCGGCAACTGGTCAGGAAAGGGCTCTCCGGAGCCTGCTGCGGTCGTCATCCCTCCCGCTCACGCAAGAAGCGCGGACTCTGAAGCGCTGGAAAAGGTTTCTTGAAATGCTGTCCTGAATGGATGCAAGGATGCAGAAGATGGAATTCTTGCAAGCAAGTATCGACGAGGAAGAGCGAATGCGTGGCGCCGACGAAAGCGGGCTTTTCGCTTTCATGATTGGTGCTCACTTTGCCGGCAGGCTACATCGCGGAGCTTTGGAACTTTTGGACCTTCATGAACGGCATGGATCAAGCTCGACGTGTGAGTGGTCGGCTTGACGACTTGGGAATGGGGGCGCGACACCCTGAGCAGCAACGCGCCGAGCTACTGCCGCAGCCGCCCGCACAGCTGCCACCCTACCGGCCGCAGCCGATGCCTCAGGCTCCGCCAGGGCCACCGCAGCAAGCCTCCTTGCCCACGCACTACCGAACACCTGATTCAAGACGACGTAACTTGCGATTCGTAAGTGTAATGGCATCGAGGTGTACGTCGGGCTGGGGTCAGTTTTTTTCGACTGGGGTAAGACCTTTTGGCGCCAAGTGGACATGGCCCAAGAGTCGTACGGTTTCCTGTGGAGTGAAACTGTTAAGACCGACGTGCTCGGCCAGTACCTGACTGGCACTGCCGAGCGTTCCTTTAACAAACAGGTTATTTCACGGTGGACTATGTTGCCGACGCTGCAATACGTGATGCAACGTTTGCTAAATACGTTTAAGATGACAATAACAGTAGCACAAGCCATGAAGCTGTTCACGACCAAGAAAGAGAACAAGCGTTCGTGGCCGGAGCACTTCCTATACGTAGTGGATGTCAGTGACGCCGCAGGTGGTGCGGAGCAGCAAGTGCTGGACAAAATTGTCAGGTATGCTTCACCAGAGTCATCGACGATAATCATGGCCAAGTATGACACGCACCGTATGGACTATCCGGTACACGCGGAGAAGTTGGCCCACTATGCCCAAGCTATCGAGACGGAAGCTTTTCCGGGAAGTTTCTTCGGAAAAGAGATCGTGGCGCACGTGGATGATTCTAGCACGCGCAAGGAGACGCGCACCTGCTATGTATGCGGTAAGGTGGGACACGTCAAGGCTGACTGTCGCAGCAAAAGGACTGGTGATTTGAATGGCGGCCGTCGCGGCAGACGCAATGGCAACTTGGTGCTTTACGTTATAGAAGGCAAAGGAAACAAGGGCTTTCGTGCCGTGAAGATTGACCTCGCGATGGCAATTGGCGATGACGGTGACACCGGGGCTGACGACTGGGTGCTCGATAGTGGTTCCAGTCGTCACCTCGTCAACGATGCCACACTATCGATGGACGCAAGAGATTGTAAGGAAACGTGTCACCTTGCTGACGGTGAAACGGTACGGCTATCGCGGGTCGGAAATGTGGTGCTGACGGTACAAGCGAAAGGAAGGCAGAGGAACGTAACGCTGAAGGATGTATTCCTCGCGGCCGAGCTGGCGCGCAATATCATGTCATACGGCAAGCTCAAGCGCAAAGGGTTTGGCTTTGTTTACGATGGCACGACGCGCGGCCTAGCGAGGCGTAGGGACGGCGAAGTCACATTCGACGTGATGATGCGGTACAAGGTGCTATACGTAAGGACGGTGCAGTCAGCACGCACGACACAGATTCCAAAAGACGTTCTGATGGCGGTTTTGATGAGGGAAGAGTCGCCTGATGATACGGATGCTGATTTGCCGATGGGTTCCCTACTACATTTTCATCAGCGACTCGGACATCTCGCTTACGATAGCATCGATAGGATGGCTACGGATCCAGCGTCCGGCATCAAACTCACGGATACAAAGCGGCCCAATTGTATCTCGTGCTCTCAGGGAAAGCAGACAGATAATTTCTAGTCGCGGAGAGACACTAGCGAATTCGCCCATCGATAGAATCGGTGGAGTGCTTTGCTCAAATGTGAAAGGCCCGATGACGCCGAAGGACAGGCTCGCAAATCGTTACCTTGTGAACTTCATAGATCACATGTCCAACTACTGTCGCGTCTTTCTGGCTCCTACGAAGGACACGTCCGCGAAGAAATTTGAACACTTTATGACTTTCTTCGAGCGCCGTTTCAACTGCCGAATCCACGTGCTCCGCACAGACGGGGGTGGCGAGTACGCGAATGTTGACCTGTTCTGCAAGTCGACAGGAGCTGCACGGCAAATCAGCGAGGCAAGAAATCAGGCATCGAATGGAAAGGCGGAGCGAATGCACAGGACAGTGCTGAACATGGCACGCAGTATGATTTTTGCCAGTCGTCTACCAGTTTCATTTTGGGGGGACGTGGTTAAGTATGCTGCATATGTACTCAACCGAAGTCCAACAAGTGCTAACGCAAAGAGGACTTCACCGATGGAGATTTTGACCAAGCACGCTCCCGACCTGCGTGAAATAGTTGCTTTCGGATCGATCTACACGATTTACCGGGACCCCGGCAAGAACTCGCTAGCGCGACGGGCACAAGTTGGTGTCATCATCGGTCGAAGTGATGAGACGAAGATATTAAGGGTGTTCATTCAGAAGGAGAGCAAGGCCACGGTGGCACAGCACGTGCGAAACATTGAAACCCTCACCAGCATGGAACAAAATAGCCAGATCTAGTGCGCACTCAAGTTTAAAGATCAAGCGGTTGTGACAGTCACACCAGGCAAATCTTCTGTTAGGGCTGTACCAATGGCTGTGACAAACATGCCTGCAAAGGATGAGGTGCCTGCGCGAAAGTTGCGAGCCGGCAAGAAGAATACTAAATCCTAGACGCGTGCGGCGCATAGGACGCGCATTGCGACCAAGCGCCCGCAAGGTTTAAGCGTTCAGGAGGAGCCGGCTCAAAAATAAGGTGTTCCACAAGAAAGTTTGATAGCGCATGTGTACGAGCGTGAACCCAAAATTGCGGGGAGGCGATGCTCAGCGCAGAAAGAAAGGGTTGGGAGAGAGCAATGATAAAAAAATTACAAGCTCTTGAAGATAACGGCGTGTGGCGCATTATTAAGCGACTTAAAAGAAGGAACGCGTTGTACAACAAATGGGTCTACAGGATGAAGACAAATGCCGACGGTCACCTAGAACGTTTAAAGGCAAGACTGGTGGCGTGCGGCAACGAGCCGGTCTTTGAGGTGGACTTTTAACTCACCTTCGCGGCTGTCATGGATATGTCAACCGTTAAGGTGATTCTGGCGCTTTCAGCGATTTGGGCGTGCCGGCAAAGCACGGGGACATCCCCAACGCCTAAGTAAAGGCTGAGAAGGAATCCCACCTGGAGATCCTGCTGCATATTCCACAGGCGATGGAAGTGAGCGAGGAAACTCGCAAGAAAAATGAAGCAACAAAAAAGAAGGAAGTTGTACTTGAGTAACAAAAATGTATGTACGGCCTCAAACAGGCCGGACAACTTTGGAGCCAGCTGTTGCACGCCCGATTGCTAGACGCTGGCTTTAGCCAGTGTCAATCGGACATGTGTTTGTACTGGAAGGTCGATGATGGCCAGCTGGTCGTCGTGGGTGTGGGTGTGGACGATCTGCTGGCCACCGGAACCGATACAGCTGCTGTTGACCGCTTCTTCAATCAGCTTGGGAGCCTTTCCATTAAGGACCTCGGCGTCCTCAGCAAATTTATTGGAATGCGTGTCGCAATGGAAGATGATGGCAACTACGTTCTGGACCAGACGGAAGCGATAGGCGATCTGTTGCGCGAGCACGGTCTCGAGAATGCCAACGCGACGCGAGCTCCGATCGTTTCAGACTGCTACGAAGTTCTACCAGAAGACTGTGAGCTGTTGGGTGCGAGCGCAGACTGTGGGGGTCCAAGTGTCCGGACGTTCAAATTCCTTGTCGGCAGTCTGCTCTGGGTGGCGCACTGCACGCGGCCGGACATCACGTTTGCAGTGCATAAAGCAACGCGCCAGACGCACCAGCCTTGACTCCACAGCCTCAAGCTTGCCAAACGGATCGCACGCTACCTGAAATGTACGCGCGAATCCAAACTGCGCATGAAGCCGGCGAAGACCTCGAAGGGGGAGCTGCAACTTGAGTCCTACTCGGACGCCGACTTCGCCGCTGAAAAGTCGGACAGGAAGTCCTTGACCGGTGGGATAGTTTACCTGAACGGGATGCCGGTGAGCTGGACGGCGAAAAAAAAGGGTGGAGTGTCGCTTTCCACCATAAAGGCGGAGTTCGTCGCTGCGTCGGAGCAAGTGCGCGAGCTGCTTGGCATCAGAAAGATGCTGTGCGAAATGAAGAAGCTCTCTATGCTACCGATGGCACTGCACGTCGACAATCAAGCGGCGTTAAAGCAGTTGTCGGGCGAGGCGTCTTTTCTAAAGGCGAAGCACATTAATGTGCGCCTGAAGTTTGTCTTCGACTACGCCCGGCGTGGGGTGGTCGCGGCCCAGTATGTGCACTCGGAGCTGCAACTGGCGGACCTGCTGAAGAAGGCCCTCTACGCCGCATAACTCGCAGAGTTGTGCAAGTTGTTACAACTCGGCTAAATGGACGGAAAGTCATGACCGAGGAAGAGTGTTGAAAACGAGGGTGTCGTGCTAAGTGCGACAACGCAAGGGCGAGCGGCACGACGACGGGAATGGCGGCCACTGACTGTGATTGTATAGGGCACACATTGTGTGTGTGACAATATGCGTGATTTGCAGATTGAGTGTACAGGGATGGCGGTGAGTAAAGAGTAGAAAGGAGAAAACAAAAGACCAATAGTAGAATCCTTTCACTTCAGTGCAAGAGAGTGCTATCTCTATTGCGAAAAGAAGTATCTATATAAAGATCATAGGAACAATAGCACACGTTTGATGAAACGAAGTGTTCACATTTCTAATTGACTGCGTGAACAATAAGGCTTTGCGCTTTCGGGGAGAGTCCAACAACATTTACTAAAAATGATTTATGATCATTTATTTGCACCCTATGAAAACAAATCATAGTCAGGTGCTATCTTAATATATTTATCTTTATGAATTTTGCTCACTTCGCCATTCATACAATCCGTCGCAGTTGCTTGACTATTGCATCACCCGCAAAGGTTTCGTGTGTGTTGCGTGCCCATTGGTATTTTATACTATAGAATGCTTCTACCAGATCAAAAGTGAATATTTCGTCCACTTCAAAAAAATGTTTTGCTAATGTATCGTCGAATACGTCTACTTTAAATAGTTTGAAAAGTGTATAATATTCCATTGCTGCACAGGTCCTCAAATACTCTAAAACACAACAAGTATCGCTGATTAATGATCGCTGATTGATGACGTTTACTTCTTAATTGGCTTATTTAGAAAACATGGGTCGTACTGGGTGATGGTTTCATGTTCAGCTTCTGCACTTTATGAACAAGCTCCAAGTAATATATTATATTGAGTACGACTCACATCAAAAGGGTTAGGCGATTAAAAGGCTAAATATGCTATCAGGCTTCTCGTTTGGCAAGCAAAAGAAAGTCCACGGAAGCTACGCAAATTTACAATGCGTGCATAGTCCTACACAATCTCTCGATTTATTGTCCTGAAGGTGCAATTTGCACAACGCGGTATGTACATTTTTCAGCACACAATTTGTAGTTCTCTTTGCACATAGGGATTGAAGTGGTGACTGCTGGACGCAAGAAATTTGCCAAAGAACATTTACTCGATACATCAAAGCATTCAATGCATAAAATTGTGGTGGCATAGACGATCAATTAACACGGCACAAATTAGTCGAATCAGTCAGCCTTTGCTACAATAATGGGCGTAAAATTACATGTTGCACATAGCCAAAAAAATCACTCCTTACCTAAAGAATTTAGGTGACTGCTTTGTCTTGATCCCTGCTTTCCTTAATATCATCTTATACTGGGCCGCGTACTCAGTGCAGATTAAATCCTGTCGCTTCTGATCCATCTAGATGGCAACTTGCACAATTTGGATCAATGTGGCTCTAGTGGTGCATCTTCGTGCGGTGGTGGTGACGCGAGGGTTATTGCCCGTTCAAAATCTCCAATCTCGTTTTAATCATGAGGGACATACATATCTTGTAGTTCCTGTATCTTTTTAAGGTGTAGGATGTGTCCAATTCATCCCGTGTCATCAAAATTATGACTATGTTTCATTTTAGTGTGGCGAGTGATCACCTTCCCCTCTTTATCACAGTGCCGTCAAAAATACGGCCTTTTTCGACCCAGGCACTACTTGCTCGTAAATACTCTATCACATTCCACCATAAATAATTTAAAGTTAAGCCTCAAGAAAAATATCATCCTTATCTTTTACTTGAGCCTTTATTGCGGTAAGTCGACAAAAATTATCATACTTGTCAGTGCTTATATCACTGTCCAAAAACCAAGCCAAAACCGCTAGATTGCGTGTTACAACACGCACTGGTTCTTTGTTCACATATGCTTTATTTATTGTAAAATCTAAACGATCTTATGGTAGCACTTAAACAAACGCTGCGCAATGATTTTTTTAAAAAGCATACTTCTTGCATGTAAAGTAAAAAACTTATAGAAACACACAAAGGCAAGAACGATTTACATTAACCAAACTGTTGAGTACCCCTAAAGGCATCATATTATTTCTGTTACTTTTCTTTTTCAGTGCATCTCACTGTTATATCTGCAGTAAAAACGTGCGATAGATGTAAGCTAAAGTTGCCAGGGAAAGCGCCTAAAAGGGGTCGGTTGATGGCCCACGGCCGCGAGCGCAACAACAAAAGTGCAGCCGTCACGATTCCAAGCTGTTTCTACGGTGGCGTTTGAAGTTAACATCAGTTTTAGAATTTGATTGTGGTATATAATCATTATAAATAGAAATTGCTGGCCGGTTGCCTGGGATGTCACGATGAACTTTTGTGTAGCCAAAACTGATCGTAACGCGTACACTTGTACGCTTTTTATGTCAAGTCTACAGACATCAGATGAATTTGAGATGTCTATTTCTATATGGATATGTGCTTGTCCAACTCAACAGCAACAATTACTAATTGATTCCACTGCCTCACCATTGCCAGTATGTTTATGTCAATATCGACGCCACGAGTTATTATTTGACTAAGCCAGTCCGTGAGCTGTTAGAACCGCGTGTTAAACGAAGGTGCCTCCACAACTCTTTCATGACAAATATCGTCTATCTCTTGTACCGGTGATCATGAGAACATACCAGCCAAAATTGCCTCGTTCCACATGAGTGGCATTCGATGAACTGAATTCATGTAATATTTAGTTAAGCGGTGGTTCACAGAAATTAATCAAATGCTTTCAGCTCTCAACTGGTGCTCATACAACCAAAATTTGTAGTGGGTTCTTCGTTTTCATGTGTAAAGCCTCAACTACCTTGTATGTCGTCGGTAGGAAAGCTTGAACATTCTCGGAGCAATTAAGCAATATCGAATTTGACCGCGTTTAAGATTATGATATGATGAATCAAGAGAAGATTTAAAATGGAATGATTTAGTCTCGGAGGTAATCAATTTGTTTCATCCTGAATTTCTTATAATCGACTTGTTTAAAGCTGAGTCTCCATACTACTCCTTTCTGAACGCTTGAGCCTCATCTTGATCTTGTATGATGAACGACTAGGTATACCTACGTCCAGTCACAGCTGGAGGTTTGTCTGCTAATTCTTTACTCTCCTGTCCACATAATCTGGAGGCGAAACTTAGAGGGATGTTAGTTGCCAGATTTTAAACGTTGTCGTATCCCGATAAAAACGGAAGAATGCTTAAGAAGTAATTCTAGCTCCTTTTACTGATGACAACCAAAACCTAAAACTAAGAGTATGCTTATTTCGAACGCCATGGTGGACTGCTACGCGTATCCATGTGTCATCGGAATTTGCTGAATCATCATACAGGGTGTCATACACCAAATTTCGCTTCTTGATCGCACTGCCGGACCTCGTTTCCTGATCAATGTGTGTGATTTACCTTATGTATAAAACCCGTGCTGCAAAACACCACTTCTTGGGTGCATCGTTGGTAAGAACGGTGTACGTCCTGATCCCGAAAAGATCAAGGCGATCACCGACTGGCCTGTGCTGGTTGATGTTAAAGGTCTTCGAAAATTCCTTGGGCTAGCGGCGTATTTGAAAAAGTATTCACGCAATTACGCCGAGATGACTGTACACCTCTCTCGTTTGTTAAAAAGAAGGAGAGGCAATTATGGAACGCTGAATGTCAGCGCTTCTTTGATGGTATCATGCAGAGCTTGATACAATCCCCAGTCCTAGCAATAGCCGATCATATTTTGCTGATCGATCAGAATGCCAGATCACCTTTTGTAATACTCTCTTCATATTTATTCTAAGCCAGATCGAGGTGCTTTAACATTTTTGTGATATAACCAAAGGTGTGGTTCGCACTCGAATTTTCTAAAAGATTTCGATTTATTGCGATTTTGAGTCGCAGACTCATTAAATCACTTTGTGCTGCATGAAAACAGCTGTCATCTGTTTTTTGTAAAAGGTATCGATCACAAATACATGGCAAAAAACTGTATGGCACACGTTCGTCATTTTGTATGCGGACTCATCATCAGTCCTTGTAACAAGTCTTATTCCGACCATGATTGAGTAGCAAAAAATAGATATCTGGTCTCCTTTTGATAATTTTCGTCAAAATTTTCACTTAAAATTATAGACGATTATCGGTCCATTACTTCACCCTGTTAACAACCGAAAATGCACGTGTGGCAAAAGGACTAAATTAAAAAAGTTTTGTTGTTGTAATAATGCTTGCCCTTTCCTACCATTAGTACGTTTCTTGAAACTACTCTTCCTTCTACTGGCCCATGCCGTTGACACGTCTTGTCGTATCTCCTCTCCTGAAAATTGTTGATTTAAACATCATTAAATAAGGGACATCACTGCCTATCAGGTTCAATACCGTTCTACACCATGCTGTCACGCGCGCAGACACCGCATCACATTAACCCAACAGACTCAACAGTTACGATATATGTTCGACACTATCGTGTTTGACATGTTTCAAGGTTCAAGTGCTATACCATGGAACGGTGTCACCTGATTGGTTGGTCAACGTGCGACGTGACATGTGAAACCACGATGGGACGATCGACAGATGGGACTGTGAGAGACGGAGCCATGTGACAGGATGTCACATGGGACAGGAAGAGACGGACATCATGTGTGACTTGACATGTTCAAGTTGCAGTTGCCGTTTCTGGTCATACGTATCGTAGTGTTGAAGGAGGAGTTCTTAACACTCAATATGTGTTACTTTTACTTCCTACTTCTACTGCACAGGTGCACCTACGTCTAACAGGTTATGAGCCCAACTAAACGTGACGACGGTGCGGGTAAACGAGCTGCACACGTCGTGGTGGTGGACGACCAAGTCAAGAACGGCGACGACCATTTGGAAGAAAAGTCGGCAGCGCCATTGGCGGAGATAAACCAAATGCTGGTTATGATTAGGGACCTCTCGGAAAGAACAAATCGAATAAAGTTCTTCCGGAGAGAGCAAACCAACAAGCACTGGGAGGACTCAACCGAGTCGAGTGTCGCCAGTCGCGAGAGGGAGGTCGGGGCAGGGTCGAAACTCCGGACCCTGGAACATAACCCTCTTATGGAACCTTCGAATGTGTCGCCAGCCACCTACTTCGGCGTCCGACGACAACAACAGGCAGGTATTGAGATACCCCCTGCAGAATACGCAGGCCCGGCAGTCAACATGGTTCAGGCACCCGACCCCGGAGTAAACAGGGCGGGTTTTCCTGCGGGATAGCATCATGGCATGGGTATCCCCAACCGAGAATATGTGCACCCAGGGCATCCGAGAATCGACATGCCAGACGCACAGCAACGGAAATTCGCGTTGCAACTTTTCGATGGAAAGGAGCTCTACCACGGCCTTGGTTGTGGATTCATGGAGTGGGGCAAGGAATTTGTTCGACAAGTCAGATTTGCGGAACGTGCATGTGGCTTTGTGTGGCCGGAGGACATCAAGGGATAATATCCTAGGCCAGCATCTAGCTGGAAAAGCACAAACCTATTATCGTCTTCAGGTGGAAACATGTGGTATAAGAGTCAAACCCTCGAGCACGCGATGCAGAGGCTATTACAGACCTTCACGACGAAGATCTCACCGGCACAGAGCATGAAGCTGTTCACGGCGCCCAAGGCATCTTATAGAAACCGGACGGACCATATTATGTACTTAACGGCCGTCAGTGATGCCTGTGGTGGTGCAGACAGTCTTATGCTTGACAACGTCGTTCAATATGCTGACCCACACATGCGAACGACGATGTCGTCCAGATTGGACATTCATCGCACTGACTACCTGCGGCAAGCAGAAGAGCTGGCACAATTTGCTCAATCGACTGAGGTAGACACTCACTCGAAAATTTTTGGTCGCGACGTGGTGAACGCTGTCGAGCCTGAAAAGGAGTTGAAGGACAACCTAAACCAATATCATCACCCCCACGGACCGATTCCCGGACTTGCTTCAAATGTGGAGAAGTAGGACATATTCGGTCGCGGTGCCCGCGATTGAAGAAGAAGTCTTCAGGTGCAAACTTTGTTTCCACAGTTGGTCATGGTCCAAATCGCTCGCCTGGTCAATGAATTCTCGACAGTGGTTCGAGCAGACACTTGATTAATGATCCGAGTCTGCTCACCGACCCTAAAGATTGTCGAAGTGAGTGCATAACGGCCGCCACAGATTGCAGCGTACTGCGGGTCACCCTGCAAGGGACCGTGGACATCCAAGTTGTTTCACTTGGAGTCGTGAACACAGTGAGACTCCTCAATGTTCATTACGCGGAGAACCTCGAGCGTAATATCCTTTCATTTGGATTGCTTAGGGCCAAAGGTTGCGTGCTAGAATATCGAGGAAGGAGACGTGTGTTGTCATCTGGTACAGGCGGAACGCCCATAATGGATGTGGAAAGTCGCAACAATGTCTTGGTAGTCACTGTGACGAAGCGCAGCGATCGTAATCTTAATCCACCGCGAGAGGCAATGATGACTGTCATTTATGCACCTGAACATGAAATTGTCTCGGACGTTCAGTGTGGTACCTTGATGGACTTTCATCGGTGCCTCGGACATCTTTGTTTCGACACGATTGTCAAGATGGCCAGAGACCCGAAATTTGGTATACAATTGACAGATTTGATAGGTCAAAAGTGTCTGGCCTGTGCCAAAAGTAAGCAGAACAAGAGAGTTCAGTCGAAAAGAGACACGGGCATGAAATCACCTACCGACGTGATCGGGATCATTTGTTCGGATCTCAAGGGTCCCATGACCCCCCGAGATCGTTTGGGAAATCGGTATGTGATTAATTTTATTGACCACCGACCAAATTATTGTCGAGTGTTCTTGGCCAAAACGAAAGATGCAGCCGCGTTATATTTCAAGATGTTCATGGTGATCTTCGAGCGCGAGTTCAATTTCAAGATTCATGTCTTACGCACCGATGGAGGTGGCGAATATAAGACGCTTGACATTTTTTGATCATTGGAAGACATCTCGCGTTAATAAGTGAGGTGAGGAATCAAGCAAGCAACGGCAAGGCTGAACAGATGCATCGCACCATCATGAACATGGTGCGGAGCATGATCTTTGCATCAAAACTACCACTCACGTTTTGGGGTGATGCTGCAGAGTACGCTTCGTACATACTATACCGAGGTAAGACCAAGTCCAACCCTAAAGGTGCACCGCCCCTGAAGATTCTGACGAATAAGGCTCCCGTACTGACAGACATCTTGATTTTTGAATCGACATGCACTGTACACAGAGATTCAACAAACAAATGACTCGGTGAGCGAGGAAAGCCGGGCATCATCATTAAGCGAGGGAGCGAAACGAAGGGATACAAAGTGTACATCCCAGTGGATAAGGTGGTCGTGGTGACCCAAGACGTTCAAAGCGTTGAAGCACCACAGGATAACCAAGATGGAAAAGAGATTTTTCTGACCCGGTGCAACGTCAGGAGGAGCCAGTATATGATCGTCGAGCGGGTGCACGAGATCGTCGAAATGGTGTAAAGGGCGGAAAGAAGGGTCAAAAGCAGACATGTACCAGAGAGCGTCATGGCACAAGGTCCACAACGTTGAGTCAAACAAAAATGCCAAAAGCCGATATCTCGGTTGACATTTGCGACGTGTGTGAATGCAGTCATCGAGCAAGATCCGAAACACTTTAGTGAGGCGATAAAGAGTAAACATCGCTCCTAATGGAAAGTGACGATGACCGAAGAACTGGACGCACTTAAGGCAAATGACGTCTGGGAGATCGTTGTGCCACCAGAAAATGCACAAGTTCTACACAACAAATGGGTCTACAAGACAAAGACCGACGCGAACGGGGACATCGAGCGGTACAAAGCTCGTTTGGTGGTTTGTGGAAGCGAACAAGTGTTCGGAGTGGACTAAACCCTCACGTTCGCAGCAGTCATGGACTTGGGAACGGTAAAGCTGATCCTGGCGCTTTCGAGACGCTGGAAGGTACCGGCGCGCCACGGTGATGAACCCAAAGCGTACGTCAAGGCTGAAAAGTAGGAACACCTGGATATCTACATGAAGGTGCCGAAGGGGATGACAGTGAAGGAGAAAGAGATGAAGGACCTGAACGCAAAGAATTCAAATGACCTAGCGTTGCTGTTGAAGAAGTCGTTACATGGACTCTAACCGGATAGGCGGCTGTGAAGCAAACTACTTGACTCCAAGCTACGAAAAAGCGGGTATCAGCAATGTACCACGGACATGTGCCTATATTTAAAGTATGAGGGCAAGACATGCACGGTGGTCGGCGTCTACGTGGACGATCTGTTGGTCACGGGCACCGAACAGAGCGCTGTGGACGACTTCTTTAAAGACATGACCTCACTATAGATCAAGGATTTGGGGATTGTAAACAAGTTCCTTGGCCTAAAAATTAAGCTCGACAACTCGAACGGCTATGTTCTAAATCAAGAACCGACTATCGACTTGCTGTTGAGGGACTTCGGGATGGAGTCGTGCAATAGGGTTCGCACCCCTATCGGAGACGAGTGCAACATGGAAGACGAAGAGGACGCTGAGTACCTACTAGCAAGAGGAGAGAAGGTTGAACCCAGTGTGAAGTTCTTTCAGTCACTGGTGGGAAGACTGCTATAAATTGCAAGATGTTCACGCCCAGACACTTGTTTTGCAGTGCATAAGACAACAATGCAGACTCACAAGCCGACACTCTAGGATTAGAAGACCGCGAAGCACATCATGCGATACCTGAATATGTCCAAGAATTTGAAGCTGCACCTGGATGGTGCTGGACATGTGTCAGAGGAAGTGCGGGTCGAATGCTGGAGCGATGCCGATTTCGCTGCGAGCAAGGCCGACCGTAAGTCAATATCAGGGTGTACTAACTGTGGATAATGCAGTGGTTCTGTGGCTGTGCAAGAAGCAATCGGGTGTATCGCTGAGCACGATGGAGGCTGAGTTTATCTCAGCGTCGCAAGCTGGTCCGGAGCTGCTTGGCATGAAAGAAATACTGAGCGAATTAAAGCTACGCGTACGTGAGCCCATGCCGATGTGGATTGACAACCAAGCGGCGATCAAGCAACTCGAGTCAGAGAAGAGCACCTCGAGCGCCAAGAACGTGGACGTACTTCACAAATTTTTATGCCATCACGCACAGATAGGGACTGTGGTGCCAAGGTTTGTGCGATCTAAGGATATGCTAGAAGACATACTGACGAAGTCGTTGCCGGCACCAAGGATGGAGGACTTAAGGTCCATGCTCAAGTTGGAGGCCACACAGGCTAAAACCGAGGAGGAGTGTTAGAATCTATCGTGTTTGACATGTTTCAAGGTTCAAGTGCTATACCATGGAACGGTGTCACCTGATTGGTTGGTCAACGTGCGACGTGACATGTGAAACCACGATGGGACGACCGACAGATGGGACTGTGAGAGACGGAGCCATGTGACAGGATGTCACATGGGACAGGAAGAGACGGACACCATGTGTGACTTGAAATGGTCAAGTTGCATTTGCCGTTTCTGGTCATACATATCGTAGTGTTGAAGGAGGAAATTCTTAACACTCAATATGTGTTACTTTTACTTCCTATTTCTACTGCACAAGTGCACCTGCGTCTAACAAATTAGAGTGAAGAAAAAGCGAACCTGCGTCTAACAAATTAGAGTGAAGAAAAAAGCAAACACATGTACCTTTATTTTCACCAAATTAGATTGTAACATACAAGACGTGTAACGCTATCTGCGTATGAAAGTACTCAATTCGGCTTACCTCAAAACTCGCCCTATCGACGGGTACAAAATCCGCGTCAGGATCTTTTCTTCGATGGTAGTCGGGGTAATCACCTTCTAAAGTAAATAATTTGAAGCCCTTGATTAGTTAGAGTCGCACACAGAGTTTTGTATTTAAATATTAGACACTCTGAGTCGAAAAGAATTCGTGCACTAAAGAGGCCAAGCTCTTTGAATTTTTCGTATGAAAGGTTGCCATTTCTCGGTGACGGGAAAATCCTCGTTTCAGCTTTATTTAAATAGCATTGTAGAAACCTATCCAATTGTACAAGTTGAGCATCGTCGACTTCTAGCTTCGGTAAGTTTTAAAAAAAACTTCAGCATGCGAGGGTAACTGGATTTCTGCTTCACTATACATAGAAGTCGAGTTTTCACCCTGTACAGAAGGGATTAAAACCAAAGAATGACAAAATTCCTGCGAGAAATTATCATAAACGTTACAATCGGTGTCCCTTTTATATGAAGGCTTCGCATAATAGCGGCAACTACCTTATTTTAGGGAATAACAGAGTGGAACATGGCGAGATAATCGAAGACCGGACCCATAAGAGCCGCAATGTTTATCGGGAAACTACATATCTCAAGAGATGATAACTCTAACTGCGATAAGAATGTGAGTCGCATGCAATTGAAGAATCAAAAAAAATTACATTCGTTTTGGCGTGGTGGAAAACAATCTATCGACAAGTGTCCCATTGTGCTGCGATTCATTCCTTGTCCAACGTATCAAGACTGACACAATGGTTACATATCAGTATGATTTTATACAAAATTAGCAGCAATAATGTGATAATTGGACAGGTAATCAAGAATGCGCTACGCCTGTCTGAAAGAGCGCATCCAAGAGATGAATGAACGTAGAAAATACAGCGACTCATTTATAGAACCTATTGAAACGATTTATAGATGCCGAGACTACATCACTCAGCTTTAAAAAAAAGCTGATCCCGCATCTTTACATCAGTTATCATGGAATTACCAATCTCTACATAGGTACCATACGACGTGCCACGAATCCACGTGATCCTCAATCGTTTGTCCAACGCACGATATCTGTTAAAATTTGACGCAGAACATAGATCATATGCCCCAAAGACATGGGTGGAAAAGTCGCCCGCTCATAGCATCTTGTTTGATCTTCACAATATACAACGACGAGCTACACCCAATCTGTGATCGATAGCTCCATATATATAACAATCCTTAATGGTCTTCGGATAGTACTCCTTTGTTGTGGTGTACCTGGATGACATTTTCATGTGTTTTTTTTCACCTAAGATCAGGATAACGTTGCACATTTTCGCGTACTCTTCAATCGACCGCAAAATTATGGCGTCTCTCTTTACGCAAAAAAAACACATTTGATGCAAGAGGGTTAATTAACTTAAATTTATGATCTCTGCATATGGAATGAAGACGATAGAGAAGAAATGGAATTTACATCATACAAGATTTTGCATTGCCACATAACAAGATGGAGCTTCACCGCTTCCTGAACATGATCGACTACTACCAAGACGTGATACCGAACAAGACGACGCTTTACAAGCCTCTGTACCGGCTTACATGAATCAATATACCTTCACGTGTCCATTGAATGATATGAAGGCATTTGAAGGTGTCAAGCGTGCATTTGCGGAAGCCTTCCTGTTAAAAATTCCCGATTTTAAGGAGCATCTTCATGTCTACACTGATGCCAGCAGGACTCAACTTGGCGGCCTTAAAATCCAAGGCAATAAAATTCTGGCTCGTTACTCGCGCTTTCTCATAAAGCATATTACTATTGCATCAAAACGCCGTTTTTGAGCTTCTCTCCGTCTTTGGGGAACAGCGCCAGTTACAAACGAGGCCCTTCGTCTTTTAGTACTGACGCACAAAAATGCATTTGTTGAAATGAGACAGGCCTTTGATCTCATTGATTTAAAGTGATAATTTTCGAATAAGCATGGGCATGTACGACATTACAGGGGAAACGAACGTTGGAGCCGGTGCTTTCTTACAGATGCAATTTCCAGAAAGCGATGGAACATCACTGAAAGACAGATTGTACGCTATTATACGCCGCCCGAGTGTTTAATGCATAGCAAAGTCATCCGACAGTACTAATAAACGATGAAAATGTATTGAACTGTCAAGGTGCCACTTCGGGGAGGTATCAACGAACCACGATATCAAATGCAGAATATACTGTATTAATTTGCTGGGAAAAACACCGGGTCATTTTATTTGGATCGCTTCGGCGACCTGACCGGGTGGTCTTACACAAATATCGACCGCCATCCAAAAATTCAGTGGTCGCTCAAGTCATAATGAATCAAGTCTACTGGCTGCACATAAATTTACCTTTGACGTATTCGCCCACCAGTGTATAACATGCTAGTGGGCCAAGCTACACGAAAAACAAGACACCGGAATACTATCGCCTCGCACTAACAAGACGGAGAGACCGTTTGATGTTGCCCATGTCGATCTTATTGGGCCATACAAAAGTAAATACTACAGATATAGCAATGATGAATCAGGCAACACGGTTGCTAGATGCTGTTGTAAAACTCAATTCAGGATCTTTAACGACGGCTGGTAGTATTCATCGCAAGTGGCTTTGTCGTTACCTAGTCCAATGCATGCTGTGCAAGACTAAGGTATAAAGTTCACAGGATAAAAGCAATTTTAGACGCTGACATGCAGTTACATTCTGATATGCAAGATAATCACAGCTAAGAACCCGCAAGACAAAGCGATACAGGAGCGCATGCAAATAAAATACTTGGCTTCATCCTTTGCCAATCAGGCGCGGATTGGAAAACCATTATTTATTACACCGGGTTTTCCGTACGGAAACATATTCTAGTATACCCAATGCATCTTCGGGCGTGCAACGTGGTCGCGCTCATTGACAAAACCATGTAGTGGAAGATAAAGTAATCAAGCAACAAGCAGATCAAATGTAAATTGTCATTAACACGACTACAATAAAGATCTGGAAACCGAAAGAAATTTGAGCGTGTTTTGTAAAAACTTTAAGGGGTAAACACCAATACTGATTAAAATTTAGGCATAATAATATTACTTAATAGCATGCGTGTAGTACAAAGACGGTTTTACTTGTTTCAACCTTTTTTATTACGAAGCGACTCCTCGTTGCAGGTAGTAAACACAGCACGGCATATTTGGAATGTATCTTAAGCTATTGAATGGTATTTGGAGTCAGTATAAAAGTCAGTTCACCATAACAAACGCGTCAACAAAACATCCCTGTCTCCATCACCAGAAAAAACAAATTTAAGCTATCGATACGTATCCAACATAGTCAATACAATTGTCGCCAAACGCGTAATAAGCTTGACACTTGCGCTCAGACTGCAATTGACTTGGTCAACTTCCATGAGGAGGCCAGTTAAAATAGGAAGGGTTATTTTCTCTCCTTTGGAATTAGTCAAACGTTGAGGCGTATATGACAACCACATCATCATTCAAACAATGTGACGGCATTGTTGTGACTTAACTTATTACAACTAAGCTTTTATTCCGGGTCGAAATGTATCCTTCTTACACATGAGGGACCACTGTAAAGCCGTATCTAATAGACCCTGTTTAATATTTTTAGTAAAATACGAAACATGCGTCTATGCATTATTTGCGAACACTGAACACCACAATAATATGTGCAAACAAGTTTGATACTTGGTATAGGAATAAGTTAAGCACATACCATGCTGCTAGATATAAAATTAAATTTCTGGCGGTGCGGTTGATTTTAATTTACATTTTTTTTATTTTAGTAATTATGCTACAACTGTATCCTGTTATTTACCTAAAAGTGTGTAGAAAATATGCAATACAACTTGCGCTGTAGGCGGCACCATGATCTGCAAACAAACCGTGTCAGCGCCATTTTACTAGTACATGCATGACATCGTCAACATATGTGGACAATATTCGGTTTTTAAACTACATAAAAATAGCGGCTGTATCCAATTGCTAGATAGAAAAAACTGGTGTGGAGAATTTACCTGAGACAGCGGGTGTAACGTGATACCCGTTCTGCATCATCTTCCGTCCTGGTATCGATCCGATGAAATGATGCTGTGTACTGCTACAGCACATGTTACTGAATAGAGTCTCTTTCTTACAGGCTGAGTTACGAGACACCAGCTCACAATATACCAATCAGCAGAAGTATGTTTTGATTGGCTACTAAATGACATTTCATCAAAGCTCTTATGATACTTGATTAATTAAGTACCTCGGTACTCGTGTTTGTACGAATTAATACATATCCATTTACAGTCTAAATAAAGTCTGTCGTTCCATCGAGCCCTTTGTAGACATATTTGGATCTGCAGGATAGAGCCCCCCACACTGTTAGCATTCTAGACAGAACGCGCTGTCTAAAAGGCTACATCCTTTGTTTGCTGACAACATCTGGCTTCCGGACCTTGAATTGGGTAAAATACATTGTTCAGACGCCAGGGATAGCTTGGCAGGCCCAGTCTGTTCCCGGCACCGCCTACTGATGGTGATGGTGATCGACCGTCGCTTCAATAAATTCAACGGGACATCGCAAGGTGTCGTTGCAAGCCCGAAGGGTGAAGCTATTAGTGACTGTGCGCAAGGGGAGGAACTTTTAAATCGTACTTTTTTGTGTGTGTCTGTAAATAACGCGGCTAGGTGTACCTTACACGTACTAAATGCAATCTAACCTGTCCTCCCTCATAGGCAGGTATATCCAAAGTCATTCTACGGCTAGGGTACCATTGAGACGCACGCTTGGTAATAAGTAACATCGAATAATGGTGAATATGATAATCTGGACGCAAAGGCTGGTTGCGGTTATTGAGTAAACTGTTATCGTTTAACACAGACATAAACAGCATCATACCTATTCTTCAGTGACTGCTGAAGTCCGTTGTTTTGCATGTTGATTTAGTTCTGCACATAATTACTTATACCAAGGGCAAGTAAAGAGCTTGCTCCCCTATCCTTTATTTTTCATGAGCCGCTTATACTCAACTTCGGGTTATGGAGTTTACGAGACCTGTGAGCTTTTATTTCAATTTGCAGAAGAGTAAGTTAACACTATACCAATGACTGATAGTGACTCGGCCCCAATTCTATTCAAACATTATAGTGTAGTGAGGTCTCGATCAAGGTACAACAGCCTTGGCCGACAAAAAGCATAAACTGTATAAAGTTGTCGGGACTGAAGTTACTAAGATATGGTTCGCACATGAACCATACGAAATTCGATCTCTATTCGCTGCTGGCCAATCAATCCGTGCCCTTTGTTGATTGGTGGATTGTAAACAAAAATGATGACCAATATCAGCCAGCGGATAAACGAGCTACTATCTCCAATTGTGTCAAAAGTAGTTGAATGGACATGATGGGATCATTCCGTATTCGAGCCAAATTACTTTACGGAAGTATGCGATACTATAAGCTTAACTTTTGGTGACAACGATGTTAGGCTCATGTTCCTTTTTGTGTAAACTCACGGGTGCCGTTGCGGTCGATTATTGTCGGGTAGGATGGATCGAATAGGGCCAGTGTTTCGTAAAATTGTTAGTGCAACAACAAGTCGGAGGAAGCAGGAAATATTCACACAATGTAAACAATTAGCTCGGATAGCGGCAAAACGTACCGATTGAACATACGAACGATTGCATAAGTGCAAATTTTTGACAAGCCGTCGCATCTAGCTACTGGTTTCAATTCTAAAAACGGGCTCAAATCGCATGAGCTAGCCTTCTGAATTTGCGTATCGTATACTGTCAGATACACTGCGCAATTTAGCTCCACCAAAGTGCAGTTTCACCCGATCGATCTGTTTTTTTACATGAAGCCGTTACTTTTCGCTACTATTTCCTTCTCCCAATTCAACGTGATGCATTATTTGGCATTGATGCTTCTGAGCGGTTACCCATGTTTGAAATTTATTCTTCACTTTTAGGCGGAGCCGTCGTCTACCGAAACACCTGCTTCAACCATTAACTCCTTTCCGTGGGTCCAGCATTCGCACTCAGCGCTAAACTAGTATCATCTCCACGGGTTTCGATAGACTGCATCTTCTTTGAATTCCGCGCGAAGCTGACGCCGTCCACTTTACTAAAATGGAAGCAATCCTATTTAATGCCTGCATCGCAACTGCATTAATTTTCGGTGAAGCTGCAGTCGTAACGTGACAACTAAACCTATACATCATGATTTGCACGCACGTTTGCGGAGTTTTCCTCAGTCAAGCGCTGATCGTGTCGAAGTCATCGAACAAGAGCAGACGAGTACCTGAGCTTCATCCCCGCTGTTCATCTGGTTTTAAAAGTCATAGCGCTTTTGATTGTCAATACGTGTCCTTCTGTCTTCGAGTGGTCATTGAGGCATGACAGTGAGCCTTGGACTTTTCGATGTCATTGCGTTATATCATACGTGGTTGCTCAAAGTTCGATCGAAGCGTTTAAAGTATCGTAATCTGATTGACGACAATTACAGTTTACGAAACAAGTCCTGAAAATACGCTTGGCATATATAACCAATCAGAAGCATGAACGCTTAAAACTACTTTTTATAAAGGAGGGATGGCCGTCCCCATCAAAAACGAGTCCTCCGTAGCGCTCCCCTATCTATTTCTATCATTGTCGTTGACGCTCTCAAACCAACGAACGGTTTGTCAGAGCTAAAGCTCCGATCCGTATCGCCGTCTGCACGTCGCGCACGCTGTCGAGTAATAAATAACGTCAGTATTTGTATATTGATTCTCAATCTCTCACACACACAGCTGCTCCTGTATCATTTCAATGTATTCCACTAAACACCCGGTTTCTGACGTCCTCTGTGCTACCATCTGCAGCTCATGTCAAGTCTTTCGGGCTCAGTGATCCTTATCGATGACTCTAGCGATGAAGGAAGCGCCGAAATTATTCGAGTTCAACAGCCAGAGCGACTGCGGGTACATTCATCCAACGAGTCAAACAAGATGAATGTTCTTGCCTGTCAAAGCGAGAAGCCCCGCGTACCAGTCAAAGTGATACCTGGTGCCTCCCAAAGCGTAAACGACGGTCGGTTGAAAAAGAACCAGGTAAAGGAGAAAGAGAAGGAAGGAGGAGGTGTTGTGGAAGTAGACGGTCGGCATTTTGACAATGGCGGTGCTGGTGAAAAGATGACACAAAACTTGAAGACGACCGACAGGAACGGATACGTGGATGTAGACTTTATGTCTGCTGGAGAATCGAAAGCCCAGCAGCGTGACCAGGAACAACTGCAGGATGAAGAGCATCGCGTACACATGCCAATGTCTGATACCGTCTGTCGGACACTCGTGGGATCGAAACGAAAGGCGAGCGGCGTCGCATTGGTGTCGCACGGCGATCAAAGCAGGAGCATGAATAAAACGTCGCATTCGACGTTTGACTTTGATTGTATCACTATTAGTGATGATTCTTCGTCGTTGTCGTCAAATGAAGAGGCGGACTATACGGCATCACTGGGTGTCCGGTCGAAGTCAATGTCTCTACAAGACGTGGTGGCGCAAGAGCGTGAACTAGCACGATTGCGTACAGGAAACGCAGTGGAAAACAGCGACGTTGTAGTTTTGCATAAGAAATCGAAAATGGTGCACAAGGCGTCAGCACCAGAGTCACTGTTTTCCTCACCTGAAGAGCAGCAACACAACGCTGTTAAAGCGTCCAAATCGGAACAGGGTGATGAAAAGGGGGATGCGCTATATCAAATGGAATCGTTGGCGATAGATTTGTCGTCAGAGCAGGAGGGGGAAGAATTCGATGACGAAACGTACACGCCGAGCAAGCATAATAAAAGGAGTGTGCGGCAGGTTAATGGCCGTCGTATCCATAACGGCAAACGCATCAAGGCGGATACGGCTGCAAAGTCGAAGAATGCTTGCAAGCCCATGAGCAAAAAGGAAAGAGATAGGTTGCGGCTTTCGTCAGCAAAAGCAGGAGTGCGACTTCCAACGACTGTGCGGGCTGGTCCTCCCTCGGACAAATTGTCGCATCACAGAACTGCTAGGGATACGGTGATACATGGAACAGCATGGCGTAATGTGTGTTTCGACTCTGCACCAACGAATTTGCTGCCGCTCAACTCGGCCGTTGCGCCACTTTTTTACTCCGAGTTTGACTGTCCGTTGCTAGCCTACGGTATGTAATGATAGCTTTCCGGTCTCGCTTGTAACTCGACATCTTCCTTACGCTGTGTTCGTGATTTGGTACAGATATGGACGGTGATTTGAAAGGAAAGTGCAAGTTTATGCCGCAGTTCGGCAAATGCAAACAAGTAGATACATTTGCGCAAGCTTCTTGCGAGCCCGAACGAGCCATCTCACAAGAAGAGATGAACACTCGCGTAACCAATCTTATCTTGCGTGAACAACCCAGACTGAGGGAGTATCAACGACGAAAAACATCGGCCATTCTTGCTGAAGCACGTGCAAAGGTTAAAAGGTATCTCGCTGCGCACGCAACGCTTAAGGCGCAGAGCGCGCATCCTCAGAGTAAGTGCGTCTTCAAACCCTATCGGGCTTGGTATAAGTAATGACGCTCGTTAATTTTTGTTTTGCTACGATGAACTAGACAGCAAGCGTCTTGTCGAGGGGACTGTACTGGACAAGCTACTTTTGAGCCAAATGAAACCCGAAAAATTGACGCAAGGGTTGTCATTGGGATATTCTAATGTGTGGGATGAGCCGACCTGTGTCAGGGAGAAATTGTTTCCGCGGGACGTGAACCAGCTCCCTGCCATCCGGCCTCTGAGTAGATGTACTGCTTACGTCGGGTTGAAAGCAAACATTCGTGTGGAGGACGACCCAATATTGCGCTACAAGCCATATTTTGGAGAAGACGATGATGGGGCGGATATCGATGAAGCCTGGTACGATGCAGTTGAACCCAAAACTTCGAGTTTGCTGATAGGCCTAGATGGCGAGATAAACGAGCTGTTATTGCGCCTCATTGTTCGCGAATGCGGGATCACTCAGGGTGTGTTCAGCGCGCTGAAAAATGTTCCTGAATTTGCTCAAGCGTACTCGGATTACGGTGAAATGAAGAAGCTAGACGATGCGATTGGCCTCGCTGCACGGCGCATCAAGGAGGCGAAAGAGCTAATACAAAGCAAGCCGAAAGATTTCCCGCTGGCGAGGGTGGTAGCTTTAGAGCCATCATTACGGAACGGCTATGGTATTTACAAGTCCCTGGCAGAACGCTTAGCCCCACCGCCTACTTACTTTGACTCAAACTTGGCAAGAAATCACTCCGACCGAGGCTATGGTTTAGGCTTGCGATCAGCGACCGATTTCACGGAGTTGGTTGTTACGTATCGCGACATGTTTTGTCGCATGTGCTACGACTATCATTGTCTCGAGCATGGTATTCAGCACCCGCTACCCTCCCACCGTGTTGATCCAATGAACCCCCCGCTTCAGCTGTCATCTGTTGCATTGGCTACTCTAGCAAAGAAGCATGTGAAGGCAGGGGACTTGAGTTCTGAGAGCTGTCAGTCACCCGCAATCCCACTGGCAAGTGCAGGCTCACCGAAAATTGGTGAATGCATTGCGGTAGACCATTGTCAAGTCGACGATAAAATAAGCAGAGATGTGCAGGTCGATGGATGTTTTATCATAGATAACGAGCTCGATGAAACGATCGACGTGAATGCTACTGATAAGGAGGGAAAAAGCGCCGAAGCGTTGCACCGAACTCGTCGATCTGCTCGTGCTTTAACGAGATGTTGCACTTTAGCAAGCCAAGGCTTAAACAAGCAAGTTACCGCGCCGCAACCACGGAAACAGCCTCGACCTCATCGTGCGCAAATATGTCCGCGAATCGCGGATGAGTCTGAGTACCTTGATGATTCCCACTATGCGTACGCGACTACTATCTTCGAGAAGTCATTGAAGACTGATGAGAAGTGCTTGAACGAATGTTGGAAAGCTGAAAGCCGCGCTAACTCTACGGACCCTGGCCTTGCGTCTAACGAGTTAAAGTGTGATTCAAAGCTGCTCAGCAACACCGAGCTGACTCTACTTCGAAAGCTTTGGGCCGTCGTTGGTGACAACCCCTGCATCATTTCTTCTATGATCCGGTCGACGACATGCAAAGAAGTTAAAAAGGTGTTGGAACTCGAACGTCTGTGTAGATCAACTCATTTAAGCGTAATGGACAGCGTGCCGCTTTCGCTTGATGCCCATTTGAGCCGCAACGGTCGCAAGCGTGGTCGGGATTCGCGCAGCCGCAACAACCCCATTTCGCTCGAAAGGACTAGAAACAATTGCTTAAAGGGCAAATGGGTGAACCACGAATACGAGCCGTGTAATCACGAGGGTGTGTGCGATTCGACAAATTGCTCCTGTATGGCACGTGACCATACGTGCGACAAGGCGTGCTCCTGCTCACGCGACTGCCTTAATCGGTTCGTTTCTTGCTCCGCTCCTTATCGAGTGCAATGTGATCGTCACTAACATTTGTGTGCTTTTCTATGCTGACGTGGTCAAAGGTTTCCAGGGTGCAAGTGTAGCCGAGGCAACTGCCGAACCAAGGCATGCCCATGTTTCATCGGTGCCCGCGAGTGCAACCCCGATTTGTGTCTAACTTGTGGCGCTAGTGAAGCCCCCGCGTTGGTCTTTGATGAGGATCGCAGGAAAATGTCGGCAATGGACTTAGGTATTTGTTGTAACGTGAATATTTTGCGTGGTCTTCACAAGAAAATTGGCGTTGCATACTCTGCCACTCATGGCTGGGGAGCCTTTGCCTTGGAGTCGATCAAGCGTGGTGAGTTTATTTACGAGTACTACGGAGCGCTCCTTTCTCAGGACGAAGCAGAACGGCGTGGCAGCATTTATGACAAGATGACCATCAGCTTTTTGTTCGATGTTGATGATGACTCGGTAGTCGATGCGATTCGAAAGGGCAACAAAAGTAGGTTTGCGAACCACTCGGCAAGTGACAAAAACTGTCAGGGCAAAGTTCTTACTGTGGGTAGCGAGCATCGAATTTCAATTTGGGCCCAGCAAGATATTGCAAAGGGCGAAGAGCTGTTTTTCGACTACGGTTACCAGGGGGAAACAGCACCAGATTGGAGCCAACTTCGAATCAAGGGATCAATGCGCTAAGAGGAACAAGAACGCCAGGGGAAGCAAGAAGAAGACGCAAATAAATTCTCGGTTGATTGTGTACTTGCTGACACCCATTTCGTAACTGGAATGGGTAATTTTGGAACGCGAGTGAACTTGCTCTTCATGCTATCGAGATATTTTATCGGACGTACGCATCCTCTAAGCTGCAAATAGAGTTGGCATTCGTAGTAGACTTTACTGAAGTCTGCACAATCAATAAGCTGCGTAAATGTTGAGGTTGGCAAAACACTTCGTAGGAAAACGATAACGCGTACTACAGTGATTACTTCCCCGTTATTTGATGCCTGCAAGGGATGAACGAAATTGCGGGGGTGCTTGCTGCTGATGGCTTTCGCATGATCGGGCAACAGCAAGGTTGTTTACACATAATTTTATGATCAGAATGCACTTGCTGGACGAATTCGCACGATAGGAAACAAGCTAGAAAATCGATCGACAACGGGTCGCAGTGAAAACCATCAATTTGAGACACTAGTGTCGATAGCGCTTCTTTTACACGTGTCTGTGTAGGCACTCGCTTCTCTGCACTTTTAGGTAGCCTCTGGAGAAGCTTGTATGCTGTTCCAGAAGTTGTGTGACGACTTATAAACCTGACTAGCAAAACTCTTTGTATGCCGACTCCGTTCGATACGCTTTTTCGGGACAAGCCGAACAAAGCTTTTTGGGGAGGGTATAAGTGAGTGAGAAGGTGAGGTATATTCAGGTACGTGTGCGACCCATACTTTCCTGTCGCTTGGCAACAAAGGACTTTGAAGACTACTGCTTATATACGAGGTGGTGCTAGCCCTCGGACAGCAGAGCGCCGTCGTGCAAAAGTTTTTTTCTCGAGATGATCAGGTCCCTCGTGTTAGCGCGGGCCCTGTAGTGCATAACGTTTGGCGTGAGAGGACTCCAGCTAGTGGTTGACATCATTGTCGAGGAAAGTTGTAGCCTCCTCGACAACACCTTGGTCTTAGGTAGCGTGCACTTGAATAGAAGCCCTTGTGTCATAGCGATGTTCGCCAGTCGATCCGCTAGTTTGTTGTGGGCGCGATAACGATATCTCGAGCAGGAGGCATCGGATTGTTAGCTTATAGGAGAGTGTACAAACATGAGTCACTAAATCGCAACGAACGTGATTTTTAGGTAGCGTACACACATTACAGTTCATTCCATTAACATTCCGTTGAGAAGGCTTACAATACAGCAAACATGTCGCAGGTCCTATAGTTGGATTTGCCTGTCTTCCTGTATGGCTCATGCGTACACCAAACCAGCGACAGCAGTCAAATAAAAGCCGATCACTGTACAAGTAGGTTCATACACAACAGTGTGGCAATACTGTGTTTGTTGCACCACGCAATGCACGCTCATCACCTAATCGACAACCTCGGTCATCCAAAATGAGTGATGTCCAAAACTCGATTAAATTCTCTGATCCTGGTTACTCTTATTGACGGCCAAGCTCCAGGGTTCGATCCTCCAATTACTTTCGTATGCCTTTATAGCTATTCTGTGACCCGCTGCCTTTCGAATATAAAAAAATCGCTGGAAATACGAAGAGCTGCATCGATACAAACCTTTGATCTTGCGCTGACAACGTATGACATTACGGTAGATTTTTTTTGGTTTTTTACAGACGAACTTGGCGCACTCATCACACAGCATCAAAACAAGTACGTCCAGGGTTTAATGATACAGCGAAGTTGACGGCAAAACGAAGCCAAAATACGATATTCTCCGCGCATCATAGCAGAATGATCACAAGACTTCTAAGATTATGGCGCAGGCAGTGTCACGGGCAATTCTGCGCGTATCCACTACCAAAATGGATCCTTACCGACATTACTGCACAACTGACGATACGACATTAACTTTTTTTTGTGCAGTGGATACATTTAGTATTCGATGACTACCCCCTGACCCCACCGGCGGAGGCCTACCATCCTTCAGCAGGCTGCACAGCTACCGAGCAACTCCACCGCCACCAATGCCATGGGGTCCAGTCTTTCAAGATCGCTCGAAAATTCATTGTCGGATTTGTACTGATTTGAGAGACCAAGCTCGATGGTACCAGGGTTCCCAAACGATACCATTAAAAACTAGGCAGCCTCACATTTTTAACGACCTTAGGTTGGTCGTAAGGAAGAATTGAATCGACAATCTATTGTTTGCACGGTTGGTGTTTGTCTAAGGCATAGGGTGGGATAGTACGATATACGCTATCGTATCACGGTAAATCTAGTAAGGTATTCGGCGCTTTGACGTTGGTCAACCGGGTGCCAGTCATAAAAATCTAGGGTTTTTTGTAAGATGTGATACAAAAACGAAAATTTCGCAAGATGTGATACAAGGTATTTTTATAAAGGAAATTTATTTAAATTACAACGATCTGAAGCTATTTATACAAAGTACTGAAGCTACTTATGCAACGACATGGTGCTATTTATACGATGTAAAGCTATTATCACGATCTCAAGGCTATTTATGACAGTGTTTTGCACCTTAAGAAATGCTAGATATTGTAGGTTTAAACGATCTGAAGATAATTATCTCATTCTGAAGATATTTATCACGATTAAGGGTCAATTATAAATATTTGTTGCAAATGAAGCAAATGCCTCGTATAGCGCTCGTGCTCCTGATTTCGTTTGCTCATTCCTGCACCAACTTAAAAAGAATTAATGGAAGACTTTAAGGCGAAAATACGGACTACAGGAAAGGCAGCTGTCCAAGGACTTAAAGATGTTGCACTTGCGCAAGGTAAATGCGCTGTCGTGTTTTCGAGAGGTGGGACATTTCGGTTACTGCAGTGTAACAGTGCGAGCTCGGGTTGCGAATGTCATATTAGATTATCACGATACAGGAACAAACATGGCCCAGGTGACTGGCATGTGACGGATGGAAATCTGGATCACCAGAATTGTGTTAGTGTCGGGAAGCCTAAAACGTCTCAACTAGTCACCAGCTCTATAGTCCGTGGTGCATTGTCTGCAGAACCGACCACGTCCGCAAGAATTTGGGTAGATCAACTTCGTCACCAATCCAAGATGACTGCGTCCTATCATGTGATGTATCGTGCTAAGGACACGATGAATGAAGAGCTGTTTTCAGAAGATATTACTCTTTACCAAGTCTACTGTCGGGGTTTCAGCGTCTGAACCCAGGAAAAATTACGGAGCTCCAATGCGACGAGAAGGGGCACTTCCGCCGGGCAACCGTTGTACTAAACCCGAAGTGGTTTTTAAATATCCAGGGGATTTTTGCTGTAGATGCAGCTTACATGAAACATCGCAAATACAACGGGTTCAAATTGTATTGGCCAGTCGCGACGAAAATTTCAGTAACAAAATTGACGCAATTGTGCTTGTCCCTGTTGAAGATTACAACAATTACCCGTGTTTTTTTGCCGTGTCATATAACATGGTTTCGCACTGACTACGAGTCCTGTCTTTAGTGATCGAAATGCTGGCCTGGTATCTGCTGCCGAAAAGCTCAATATTTTTAATATGTTCTGCATTCGTCACATTACAGGTAAGGAAACAGCCAAATTTTCTGCAGTTTTGTTTCAACTTGTCATGTATTTCTGCACAGATAATATGAGAAATGACAAAATGGTACGGCTATCAGTCTCCCAAGAGAAGTTCTTATGGGAAGCGAATGCTGCATCACGTCGATCTGATTTCGACATCGCGATGACTGAACTAACCGCGATCAGCCCAGCTGCTGCTACTTATTTAAATGCGTAACCACTTCGTGAACGGACACTTCACGTACACTACGAAGCAACTCCACTTTACGGAGGACGAACGACCAACTTGTAACGAGTGAGCAAGCAAAGAGTCTCCGCATAACGCCACGGATTATGATGCCGTACGAGTTCTTCAAGGCCTATACGACGATTATGATGGATTGGTCTTATAAAAGGTTTTAATTAGGCATGCTATGGAGGAAAGAGGACGTACAATTACGCCTCGGGCCGAGCAAAAGTTGCAAAAACAATTCATGGATGCTGTAAGGTATGGTATGACGTATAGTTCTGAAAAGAAGCTTTCGTCACTCGATTAAGCAGTCAACTGGAGCAACACCGTGTTGACATCAGGAAAGCTTCATGCTCATGTGAAACATGGAAGCAGCACAAAATATCGTGTCGCCATTTGATCGCGACCTTAAAGGCGGTCTATAAGCCTAAGATTGCGTACGAGCTGATGGGAAATTGTTACAAAGTTGCGGCGTATCAAGCGAGCGTCAGTAAGCTTGAAATTGCCGAGGACCACTTGTAAGCGCGATTTTAAGTATCTCACCCGCAGTTTATATTCGACAAGCTGGACGCCTGAAGAAAAGACGCATCAGGTCACAGGGTGAGTCTGGTGGGAAAGCAAGGAAGCCTTACAAATGTAAGCGGTGTGGTACATCGGGACAAAATAAGGCTAAAGGCCGCTTATATTGACGTAAGGATACCGAGATGGATAATCGTAGCTCTATGATATGGTCTAACATGAATGTGGTAAAAGTCATATTTGAAGATATACTGTGACTGTGATATTGCTGCTGCAGTATCGACGTTTCGCTAATGTTACAAGCTATGTTACAGGTGACAGCACATGCATCGAATTATCATTAAGGACTCAACGAAGATCGTCACCGAGTTTTTTCGTACAGTGTCTTCACATAGAAACTACGTCTAGACTGTGTTGACTGACTGTTTGTAGTAATCTGATCGTTCGATCGTTGTGGTAGCCTAAAGCTGACATCTGGTCGGCGCCTTGGGATTGCAATGGATCTAGCTGCTCGCCTGCTTGATGCTGCTTGTGCTTCTTCTCAAAACGTGACAAAATGGCCGCAACGTCCTTCGTGAAGCTCTCTTTGTTGATGTAGCCGTCCTTGTCAAGGTAACGCACACTGCTCAACTCCTCATTTTTCTGTCTGCCCGTCCTGTTGGCATGGTGGATGCAGACGGTATAGTGCGATTCGGTGTGAGGAAGCGTTATTCGCAC